TTTTTCTCGATAGTTATCGATTTTGTTTTGTAATGACTTTAAATATCTTCCAATCATTTGATTTACAAACTTATTACGTTTACATTAGACAACGCTTTTACTTCGATTCACGTCACTTCCTCTTAATCTCTTTAATCGGCGAAGCGATTAGATTAGATTTTCTCAGCGACGTGACCAAACTCGAGTGCCACAAAAATCATATGCAATTAGATATAGAGGATGCAAGTCTGATATAGATCAATCAAGGTAAAGACGAAAACAAAAGACCGTTTCGGTTTATAATTTTACCTTACATAATTATACATACATAAAAAAAAGTAAAGTATCAGCCTATACATCTCCCACTGCTGGGCAAAGGCCTCCTCTATGCAGAGGGTATCAGGGCATAGTCCACCACGCGGCCCCATTGCGGATTGGCGGACTTTACATACTTTCGAAATATATTTTTTTGTTATTATTTCGAAAATATGCAGGTTTCCTCACGATGTTTTCCTTTACCGCGGAGCACGTGATAAGTCAGCACTTAAAGTTAAAAACTTCATTGATGCCAGCACCGGGGATCGAACTCAGGTTGCTCGAGTATATTGAATTAAGATAAGATAAGATAATCATTTATTGTCTTAACTGTGTACAATAAGTGTTACATTAATTTAAGACGAGCACCCGGACACTGAGCTATCACGGCTCGTATACATACATATAAGCAAAAATTAAGATATTGTTTAATTGCGTCATTTCGTCTGATTTCTGATGATGCCTGATGATGCCCACAAACATTCATCATATAAGCAAATACACATTTGACGTGTAATGTGTAAATAAATAAATTGTGCGTGTGCAATCATTTTGATATAATGTTAGTAGCATTGGGGTCCGACTGAGATATAGTGGTTGCTGGCCCAGAGGCCGGCAAACAAATTCATTCACATTAATAATGACACAATTTTTATTTAGCAAGATATAAAAAGGTCGCCATGACGAATAGAGGGCCAGCTCTGTACATTTTTCATAACTTCACGGACAATTTTTCGGTGGAAGGTGTGACTTCTGAAAGTCACTCGTGCACATTCAAGTTCTGCGTGTTGTTTTAAACTATAGGACAACATCCATATGACAACCTTATGAACAGAAAATGATTAATATAGAATTTGATCATATTAAATTTATAGTTACGGCTTAGAGTTTTCTATTCCCATGACAAATTAGTAATGATTAGGATAATAAAGAGTCCAATTGGAGTAGTGCATAGTGATCCTTTCTCTTGCGCCAGAGGGTTGAACTGGAAATATATTGCGAGATGAATATAGTGTTTTACTAGAGTTTGGGTTTTTACTTATCTATAATATGTATTCATTCACAAAAGAAAAGTATGTTTGAGTGTTTATCAGTTACTTAGCACCCATAGTACAAACATTGCTTAGTTTAGAACTAGATAACGTTGTGTAAAAATATGCCCCTAAAGAAGTTAGCAGCGATGATGGGCTCGATATCATGAGTGCAATGCAATTATGTTAGTTATATTCATCATAAGTTATCATTATATTACCGATATGTATGTTTGCTTGCTTAGTTATTCCATGACACAAGGTTAAATGTGCATAACATTCAGTGTCACATTGTCATTTTTTCTTCAAGGCAGATTCTATGACTAAATAGCGGTTATTTCAAGGAAATATCGTATTGGTTCGGCCTTAAGTGCAGACGAGGAAATAAAATCAAAAACAGTACAAAAGACAATGCTTTTGTACAACTCGTGTCTCTCATTGTGGCATAATTCAAGCAATCATTGTAACGGGGTGTCAAACCATTGGATTAAATTAAACGCAGTGACATAGAGCGTCCGTGTTCTATTGATTTAAAAACACAGATATCTGTGGTTTTTACCTGATAAGTGGCCAGTGCTCGAATACCACTTCACCTAAGCGGTGAGTAAAGCGCCATATGTAGTATTGCTGTACACGTTATGAAAGAGAAGGTGAACCGCAGGAACCATCGTGGCAAGCGAGAAATAAAAAAAATCAATAGGTTGGAGACCTACTGAACGTCTAACTGTTCTTTGAAGGACACTCACGTGCACACTCAGCGGAAATGCCATAGATCACCAAGAACATACTTCGCTGACTTATCGGTGACGCTGACGGGAGCTAATCAGATGATTAGCTCCCGTCAGCGTCACCGATAAGTCTCGTTGTATGCCTCTTCACTGAGCACAGAACGGCTGACCCAAGTGAGCGTAAAATACTGTCGCTCCTTTTGCAAGGATATCACACAAGATTGGCATTGTACCGTATACAGGTTTTCTTCAATATGAGACTAAGCCGAAATGCGTCTTGAAATATGGTACAATCGTAGTCGCTTTCTACAAACGTGATATTCAGCAAGCACGTAGCCAAAGTTGATGGTGAACAAAGCCGCAAGTAAAGCCCGAATGCCATCAATTGTCAACTTCCTCTGGGTTCCGCTTATCGACTCACCAACATTTCGCCAGTACTCGTGCACGGCTTTATTGTTGCATGTTATGACATTTAAAATGTTTTAATATCGGTTATGAATGGAGCGGTCATTTTCAAAACGATTCTAATAAACACATGCGCTACAATCGGTTTTCGGAACGAGAATAATAACTCAATCGCGAATATCGGAAATTGCTCTATATATAACTGGAGTGACTAACAGTTACGTCTATACATAAAAATTGCTACATTACAGTTTGTTGGCAAGCAAACTTTCAAATATCGTAGCAATTGGAGCTTGACTTACAATTTAGAGCAGCCTTTTTGTTATATCGCCCATCCTTATCCGGACAAAGGGGAACATTCATTATCAACAGCAGGTATACGTCCAAATTGTATAAAAGATATGCGCACCTATGTGCCTTCGCATGCAGGTGCTGTCGAACGTACACGTATGCCCTGGGATGGTAGGAAGTAGGAAACGCTGGTTTCATTTACTGGATACAGGTGAGCGCCTCGATTCCGCCTAAATGAGTGGATTTATTCAAATTTATGCCAGCAATATAGAAGCAAATCGATGGGAGCGGGAGTTTTGTTAAAAATTAATGTACGACTTGATTTTGTGATAAACTAACGTTACCCAATAAAATATTCTACATTCACCTTGTGCGTTCCTAATTTAATGGGTAGTAAATTAAAGAAAAATAACAGCCTATACATGTCCCACGGCTGGGCAAAGGCCTCCTCTATGCAGAGGGTATCAGGGCATAGTCCACCACGCGGCCCCACTGCGAATTAGCGGACTTCACATTTCTTCGAAATATATTTTTTTTTGTTATTATTTCGAAAACATGCAGGTTTCCTCACGATGTTTTCTTTCACCGCGGAGCACGTGATAAGTCAGCACTTAAAGTTAAAAACTGCATTGCTGTCAGCACCGGGGATCGAACTCAGGTTGCTCGAGTATATTGAATTAAAGGTGAGCGCCCGGACACTGAGCTATCACGGCTCTTTTTCATGGACATTTAATGGTTCCATGGTAAGTAATATTTTTCTCGACGTGCGCAAAAAACTTCTGAAAGTCTGTGAAAAGAATATAGCTATCACAAAAGTTAATGAACTAAATATTTTTTATTGTTTAATGTGGCAATAAGTCATTTTCATGCTAAGATTTGCATGTAAAAAATAAATTTGAACATCAACATTATTAACACAATAAATTCTCCGTACGGTTTGCGATGGTTTACGCAACTTTCAGTGTAATGATATTGGCATATAGCACATCTGCAGATGGAATGTGATTACGCACAAATGCATGGCGTGAAATCAGCGATTACACAATGTTGATCAACAATATCACAAATTTCGTATTAAAGTAAAGCTATAAGTATTGATAACATGGATAGAAGATTGATATTTATGGTACAAGTATGCGCGTTTCGAACAGAAACCCCCGGAAAGTGTGTAACGACATTTCTGGTCGCTGTTTATACATATAGAGCTCTCTCTAGTCACACAAAACTCATGTATTGGAATAAAATTTTGTACATATTATCGAACACAATCACCGTACATACCACAGCCATTGGAGAAGTAGAAAGTACTCCGAGGCTACCTGTTACGTATGGAATTCATGTAACATTACGCAACTTGGCGTTGGCTGAGCCGGTACTCGGTTGCGGGAGCTCAAAAACAAGACACGCGTCAGCCAAAGATCGGTATCGGCTGTGTACTGCGTAACGGACCTCGGGACGTGTGATGACATATCATTGTGGCACGTGTGAGACGCCATCATTGAGTGCACATAAGACATGTTGTACTGACCATACTTTAAATTTATAACAAAAAACCTTAAAGGGAGTTGACCCAATTTATTACTAATAAATTTACTTTCATAGAGACGGGCTTTTAGTATGCTCTGTGAATTCTTGTAAAGTAAAAGAACATTAAATCCTAATCAAATTCCTTGGCGACAACGGTGAATACATTTTAAAAGGGAAGTTACCGCCTACTGGAAGCCGAAATGGTGATATTTTATTGACTTATTTGAATAACAGACTACGATCGGATAATTTATTATAAATATTTCATTCACATTCGATTAACACACGGGACACATTTTTTCATAATCCATCCTTTAATTGATCCTTTTTGATCAGAGGGGTTATCAATGTATAATTTGTATTCGTCTCTACGAAATACAATATTATTAACCTTCATTTCGAGTAGTTTTTCAAAGGTTACCTATGGAACCCATGTTAAAGCCACGTGCAAATTCGTGATTTTGGAACTGTCAAGAAATAACACCCTGTTCTCAGTCTCAAGTCTCACCTCAACGGGGAAATCGTGATAATTTATTATCACTTAGATTGAGTTTATTTACCCTAGATCGGGTAAAAACGGGAGCCAATGATGTTTCAAGTGAAGGATCTAGTAAACGTATAAGTTATTAAAATTCTATTCCTTTATTCCTGCCAGGTTGCCAGGCCGTACAATTATATTTTTGAGTCCATTTCTCTTGTCATGTGCCTCTGTATAAACAGGAGGATGATAAACGCCATCTCAGTCACGGCGACGGGTCGCGCACTTCCGTGAGTCACGAGGCGTCTGCGAGTCAGGACGCCGTCTGAGATGTTGCTGGCTTGGATTCGTGACTCTGCCCGATGCGACCGTTGAACCGTGCCGAGACACACGTCACAGCGCTACGGGCACAGTATAAGAGTAGCTTACTTCTTCTCTTCGAAGACAAGTTCTTTAAACGTAATGAATTTAACCATACACATCGAGTGACCATAGATTCTTAACATTTTAAATGTCACAAAACAATTTACAATATATTGATTTCCTCACCGAAACTTAAAATTTGCTTCGGATAATAAAACGACAGGCAAGACTATAAACAGTATCTTCGTATTTAATGTAATTTGTTAGCAGTTTTACATTTTTTGATCTAAGCTAATACGTTTTTTTTATTTAGAACTGGCCAGCACTTGACTGCCATCCCACCTGATGGCATATGCGATAATACCAACATTTGGAACTAAGTATAAAGCCATCTTGTTATATATTTGATTCGACAAACTTAAACGTTTCAACATACCGTTACTTCGCACATTCGTTTATATTCAACGACGCGGTAACACTTCATACATTAGTCTTACTAAACATTATATCTTATCAAGTTTCTTCCCTAATGCGTTGACAAAACACTTTTTAAGTGCACATTCCCTTTGTCAGCTATTGCCACATTCTAAGCGATAATACTTCAGACATATGTATAATTACAACCGATCAACGCAGTATTGGAAACGCCGTTATAAAACGTATATATTTCTCCACTATCTACGGTTTTTCACAGTCTGTTGTTATGCTGTGATAATAACTGTATTTGGACGATATGTTAACTTTACTTTGTTTTATCGAGCTAAGAGGGTTGAAATATAAATACTTTTGACAAATCACCGTAGTTTCACTTTGCACGACAATAACACTGCTATCATCACTTATTGACATTTTTAGACTAAAGAATCACAACTCTAACGATTTAATTCATGATATCGATTGGACAGTACTATCGCGTATACTTCTTGTTGACAGCCAAAGAAGAAGACCATGAAATGTTTCGTGCAGCTCATTTATACCTCATAGAATGACACTTCTTTTAGTGCTGCCAACAACCTCAAGGAATGAATTCTTTTTAATGTTGTCAGCAGATACGGGATAACAAAATATGGCAAAAGTACCAATATGTCAAATAACCATTTTAGGCAAAAATAAAACCGGAGGTACAAAGTAAGGGAAGTAAAAACTAAGCTAAGATAAAAACAATCGGGAAATCTAATTGTTGGTCCATAAAGTAAAATCCATATTATAACACATCTTTCGTAGACAGGTCGTATATCCATGTTGAAGTTAGCATTAATATATGATTCGATTCAACAAGCGTTGAACAAATAAAACGCATGTGGCGCACTCCAAAGACGTCGAAGCGAAAATATTATCAGACAACAATACATTTGAAATTCCAATAAGGAGTCCGCGCCATTTGCTGTGTTTTTCAACTTCATACATTTTAATAAACACATTACAAACGGACTGGAGCCCGTGGCTACAGGGGACAAAGAAGTTGCAGAATGAGTTTTTTCGCTGTCATCAATAATAGATGGCGTGGGGGTGTTGAGGCGCGAAACGCTCGGAATACTGATGGCGTTGCGGGAATCACAATGATCGTCTTACCACGACGTGTTCACCACATACCGTTACGGATCTGAAATAGCAACGTGTTATCCGCCGACGTTCTGACGGAAAAAATTGTCACCATAGACAACATCCTTTCATGGACGATCATTATCATGTAGTGAAGTGATTGCTTTCGTCACCCGCATGGGCGCCGTACTCAGATCTTCTACTCCTAGTCGCGTGCACCAATTACACTTTTGATTTTTCCGGATTTCTTATAAGATCACTCTCGCACATCTCCTCAGGGCAAGGCGACGGTTTTAAGCTCTTACTGTCCTTTTATTTCGATCGCCGATACACATAAGGATGTTAAAGAAGTTATTAAGTTTATGAAGTTACAATGACGGTAAAAAAAATTTTTAGCTTATTTTGGACGCTATCTACAAGATCGGCTATGCTATATAGCAGGGATACAGCCAAAGACCTTACACTTACACTTAGTAAGTGTTAGGTCTCTGGATACAGCTTGGCACTGACAATCAACAGGTACGGAAAAACGTGTAATCTGTTAACGATCGTTTAATGAGAAACTGTTAACTTTAAATAAACGGTTACCTATATAAATAACATGACAGCTGATTTTTAACTTACTAAAACTACTTGATTGATTTTATTATTATCCAGAAAAGTGCAGTGGCGAAATTTTTCGATAAATTATCAATCAAGCTTGGTAAGTGACTTTGGTAGAACTTAAAGTGATTTAAAAACATAAAATCTTTTTAAAATATCCCCTAAAAGTATCCTATGCTTCGCAATATGTGCAAACGTATGTATACAAACGTACGAAAAGTAGTCACAATTATTGCATTCGCTCGATGTCGGTGCCGCAACGCCGTATTCGTATGCGGGGCGTCATTTGGAAAAACCTGTCGCTTCGCTCCGCGCGATACCCTCTCGGACCAGTCGCTGCCTACATGGCAAGGGGCTGCTCTTATTATGCGATGTTTTTTATCGACAGGCATCGTGATCAACAGCAAAGCTCCTCAAAACGGGATGAGATGTAACTCCAATTTTGAGATTTAAAAATCTTTTTTCAAAGAAACCATCCTGTCAGAAACAAACCTTTGTAATATACAACAAGTTGGTACATGAGCTACAGGCTCCCGCTTATGTTCGTGATGTATGATAACTTTCTTCTTGGAATTTTCTTCAGTTGTTCAAGAGTGATTGGTGCTACCTATGTGGGGACGGCACAACATGTGAATCATGTAGTATGCGGTTTATGGCCTTGTTTTTTACGATCGACCGCCTACCTGACGTGAACCCTCTTTGTGAAAAACATCCAGATCCGGATCAAATTAAGGAGTATTTACTAAATGTTTCAAAGTATTTACCAGATTAAGTAAACTTTGCAAATCTTCCGTCCGTTGAACGTACGGCGATGTACGTACATATAAATGTATGTTCAAAGAGGTTAGGTTAGGCCCATTTACGAGTTGATGGAGCGGGTTTCCGGCCTCTTCGGTACTTTGATGTCAGCGCCCAATGCTCCTTAGGATACCGCCGACGCAGCCTCTCCGCAAAATCCCCTCGCATATGTTTTTAAATTAACTAGTCAAACTGGAGTAAAAGTACAAATCCCTAGCGTAACGTTAGAATTTGTGAGTAGATAATTTTTAAAACATTTATTGCGGAAGCCATTGTTTTTTTTATATTTTAACATTTACGTAACAGTATACACGTAATTGTTTATGTTTGAAACTTTTTTTAGATGGGTAAGAAAGTTTACGCACAGTAATTTGGATTTAATTTCCCTGGACACAAATGAAAAAGTTATCATCATGTTAGTGTCTAATATCTTTGACTCTAAATACCGAAATTAACTATATTATTCTAAAACATACTGGTTCTTTCGTTGGGATAGATTAAGTGGCATTCAACCAACATCCAGAAACATTCATCGAATTGTACAGTTTGTGAAGCGGTAGTGGTATACTAGAGGCAAGTTTGTTTCTGTACTGTATTACACATTGGCTATTCCTAGAACACTCTCCGGAGATAATAAGCTTCCGCTTTTGGCCGGTTCAATAGCGGGGCTCAGGCCGTTCCTATATCGGCGCCGGTGGGCTTCCGCCGCGTTGGCCAAGTGAGCGCGTATAGCGGATAGCGCGGCCGCTCGGAGGCGCCCTCGTGAACCAGGAAACGCCCCTAATTCACAAGCAAATCTTTCGCGGCTTACCCAAATACAAACGGTGAAACATAGAGCACTGAAGCGAATGCCTCTAGTTATTTATTGGGGGCCGGGGCTTCGCTATTTGCGTTTCATGCTCTATAAATCTGTGCATAAAGTTCCGTTAGAATGCTAGAACTGACGACGTCAGTTTGCCAGTCTGTATGAAAGAGAGCGATATTATTGAACGATGCATCAAACCCTTACACGGCCAAAACATTATGTCCTGGAAGGCTCTTTTACAGGATAAAACCTCCATTGTATTTACTATAATCACATTGCTGGGATTTACGTTGTTACTAGTACTATGTAGCTTGTACACATGAAAATTATAACAACCGCAATAAGACAGTATTATGGACCAATATGAAATGAAGAGAAATCGTTGATAAAAAGTTCACACAATATACATAACACATAAACAAACAATACTTAGGAAGCTTTCACAAATATAACATTACACATTCGAGCGATAAAAGCCACCTCGTCTCGGGAATCCAATCCACCTGTCGATTATTTCAATCTGACAGTGTTCTCGTACTTATGAAACTGGACTAGGAAATGTTTTCGCTTGAAGAATAAAGGGGGATATAGGAGGCGTATAAGCGGTTCTTTGTGTGTGCACAAATTTGAGTAGCTGGAAGCTGCGGCTTCACTTAATTTGGAAGATTTACGAAGTTCTCTTAAAGCGGACCCTTTGCGGAGAAAGAGGGGCCTTGGTAGGAAGTACGATTGGTGGTGAGAAGGTGTAAGTGATGACTCTGTGCCGTAGTTGCAATGTATTGGCAACAGGTGTGGTTCGATTCCCACACGAGACTAGTATTTGTGTTACCCACAGATAATTGTTTCTGATCCGGGTATGTGTCTACGTGAAATTTGGGTAAATAAAACGTCTTTACAACACAGGATAATGTTTATAATACAGTAAGGGCCGTGTATCTAATAATAATAAAAAAAAACTTTATCATTTATTCGTGTGAGTCAACGGCGTCAAATTCTCACAACCATCCATGGTGTTATCCCGTTTCCATTGTTTAGTGCTGTACTCTATACTAACTTTTATTGTGGACGCCGGACGAGTGTTATCATTTTTCAGCTTTGAATGCAGTCACAAACTAGATCTAATATAGAAAAAAAAAACACATATCTAATTTCTGTTATCATTCTATTAGCACAAAAATTGTTCGCAGTGATTTGGCAAAATAGAACAAACAGAAATGTTGCAGCAATGATATCGCTTTCAGTTTAAACCTTCAGACGTTTCGGAACGTCATTCAGGGCTATGCCAAATTTTGTTCGGCTAGACGGGATTTTGAACGAGGCAGAATGCTTTTTGTAACGGGAGCATAATTCTCAATTGATTGTTGTTTGTTGTCTATTATTATTGTAATTACGTAAAATTTTTGTAATACGAAAGTTCTAATTAAGTGAGGAATATAAATAATATTATTCCCAAATACGGACAGACCTATAAACGTTTAACCGTGGCTCGTTTGTCACCTTCAGTGACGATAAAAAAGGTGACAAGGACAGGCCAGGCGGGCGGGATTTAGGCGGCGGGCCATCGGCGTCACGCCGCCAGGGCCGGATTTGGGCGCGAGCCAGCACAACGCTCCTGGTGGAGAGACGCGCCGCCTTGGCCAACCGCCAATGGGCAAAAGGGGATCACTCTGCATAGATTAAACCATTATTTGTATATAAAAAATGAATGATGTATAAGGAACATTTTCATTTATTATGTACTCTAATAGGTATTTGAGTTTCGTGATAAATTCGTAAGTTATTTTAATTAAGATATGGATGATGTAATGATGGTAATGTAAATTCTGTTGTTTTTCGTTATGATAAGGAAACATCGTCTAAGAGCTTAGGTGTCTAGAGTAACAGAGCGGTGTATTAAGCTTACATGTTTATAGCAAACATGTAAGCTGTGTGAATGAAATGTGATACGAGATTAATTTACTGTAAGTATACGATTGCCCTCCATTACATTTCCACGTCCATTTCTCTTCGGTGCCGTGGGAAGTGACCGCCTTAAGATGAAGGAGTTAACTGATTCCCACAACACATATAATTAGAGCAATTAGATAAGTTTCATAAGCACTTTATTCTGTTCTTTATTATGTTCAATATGGACATTCAATGTGTGATAGATTGTGCAAGATTCATTTGTAGCATCAGGTTTTTATTGAGATAGCTTGTACGTAAATTGTACTTTATAAAACTGCAATTGCTTGGTATAATAGAATACTTTTGGGTTTTATATATTTGTGCATTTAGATAGTGTACTTATGTCATAATTATTATAAAAAAAAAATGAAAAAAATATTGTTAAAATAGTTCGAACCGCTTATAGTGCCAATGTGAGACTTATTGAAACAAATCTATAAGAGTTCGAACGTTATTACTTTGATTCTAATATTTTAACTATTTCTGAGCTTGAATATTAACAACTAGTGGTTGTATCACTGTCCGGGAACGCAGCCGAAATACAAGTGACCGCTGCTCCATGCGACCATGTGTCCCTTGGCTCGAGTAGATAACGTCATATCCGGTATACAGTGTTGCCAGCGCCAACAAACCTAATTTTATTTCGTCACTCACCATCCGAAAAGGAACAAAGCATTATTCTTTAGCAGAGGAAATCAATTCCCCAAGTACTAAAAGTATACCTTTCTTTTCGAATCATTAATAAATTGGTGGCAGATTATGTCATGAACAAATTATCTATGAAGGTATATTTATTAAACTATTTTACGGATTTTATCGTATTGAATTTGTTTTAAGTTCTCAATATTTCGAGCATTACAGGGTCCATAGTTTCAGTTGTTTTACGTCCTTATGTCATAATAATTATGACGTTAAATAATTCAACAAATTATAAATATGAGCCTTTATCCAATTCATTAGGGCTAAACGTATTTTGAGAAAATTGAATTTTGAAAAATAAAATGTAGCACGTCACACGACGAAGATTTTCTTCGTTTCTAAACATATGCCTTAATTGTGTCATTGTTGTTCCGGTAATTAGTACGTTCAGTTGGACAGATGGATTAAATCGTGCAAGGCGCGTGGTAATGCGTTAATAATGTAGCGGCGAGATTAGAGGCGGATTAGTCGCGGGGGCTTGCCGGCCTCAAACGCTTTCTCCGACCCCTTCGTCAGAGTGCTTTGCGCGGTCGCAACGCGTTCGCTTATTCCGGTAATATCGAAATGTAAGCATCATGTCACATTAGCAAAAAACAATGTCGCATGTAACTTGGGCAAAAGGACTATAGTTTCCAGAAGATTTAGGTATTGTTTCATTATATTGAAACATTAAAAAATCTAACTTATTTTCAATTTTTAACTACCGTTATACAGCAGGCGCATTGATGGTTGGTCAACATACAATTAGCATTGGTTCATTGCATCTTTCATCTGTCATGAAAGTCACCAATTTCACTGCGTACCATTTTGAAAAGGAATCCTTAAGCGAGAATGGTAAATCGCTTTGGCGTCCCTCTGTCCGACTTTGACAATGAAAGCCACTTGTTTATTAGAGTTACAGTTTTAACTTTTATTCGCATAGCAAAGGTACGATTTAAGTAAACTGGCTAAGTTCGAAATTAAGCTGCAGAGAAAAAATCGGCGCCCCTATTTGCTTCAATTTTTGTTTCATTTACTTAAAGCCCGGAAAGAAACTTTGCTCTGAGAATGAGTCGTAAAAATTTACAGCAAAATATTGTTACATGATATCATGAAGTACATTTATTGCAATTTTAGAGATTTATTTCTTTTACATATTTTACAGCTTCCTATTATTGCTGTACTCTTACTTCAAAATCAGAAAGCTGTGATCAGTAATTAAAAAAATAAACCAAAATGTTACTCGAAATTGAAATTAATATTGTCATATTAAATAACATAAATGTTATTCCGATGATAAACTACGATCTGCTACGTTCCGCAAAGATTTTTCATTTAAATCGTTCTTTATTTCATTAAAAAACAAATAAATAAATATAGATTCGGTTCGAAATAGGTAAGTTCCAGATGTTATGGAAAAAGTTAAATGTTCAATCGGCTATAATTAAACTGATGGTGACTGTAACAGCCCGAGCTTCTTGCTCATTGATCGTACTTTGAATAGTTTCGTCCTGATCCAAGAGGCACGAGCGGGCGTCCTCCGTTACAAGTTTTTGCAATGGCGCAACTCGATAACTGAGCGGAAGTAAAGCTTTGAGGGGAAATACGCTAATGGAAGTTTTTATTCTCTCCGCCATCCGGCTAAGTCGCGCAAATCTCGCCGGAGCGGTGCATTATGTTGATTGTGTCGTCTTGTCTCGCGCCCCTCGGCACCCTTTGTTTCCAAATAATGTTTACTAATATCGTCCTATGAGCTGTGCAAGGGTAATGATTACTTTTGATAAAATCGGGACTTGAATTTTAAATTGTTAGTAATGTTATTTATAATGTATACTCGAATACCAATATGTACATATTTATAACTTTCACTACTGTGGTGCTTTTTCGAACACAGAGTCATCCACTGGGAGACTTCAATTAACACTTTGTTTTATAATGTTTATGTGCTGAGGGCTTTTAAGACTAACGCCCGGTTTCTGAAACACTGATCATCATAGATGTCAACTAATCAGCTGTCAAATTGCTTTTCACATTTCATTTTAGTTGGCAAAAGGATGGTTAAACTCTCCGAATTGACCGGGAAGATTTTCATAATGATCAGAATGATAAATTCAAAGAGTTTAAACATCCTTTTGACCACTCAAATGACATTTGAAAAGCCATTTAACAGCTGATTAGTTGATATCTACTATAATCAGTGTTTCAGAAATAAGGCGTAAATCTGACATATTAGAGAATTAATGCTATTTATGTGGTGAGATGATATTCTCACTGAGGCAACTGATGATGATCTAACACCTCGGCAATGTGAATCTGACTTAATTTGAAATTCAATTCATTCATTTTGATAATAAGACGTAGGTACCTACACATAAAATAACTCTTCTTCGCTTTACAAGTTTAGGATTCATGCAACCATTTAAAGAGTGTTTGTACTTAGGCCTGGACCTATGATCACAATTTTGAACACTTTAAACTTTAAAGATGCGTCAGGTCTACCTGCCCCTACAACTAATTGTTACCAGCGATATTTCCGGACCGATACGACTTAGGGACCTTCAAGAAGAAAGTCTACACCTACCATAGAGGGCGGCAACGCAATTGTGACTCAAAGGATGTTGCAAGTGTCCTTGGGCGGCGTTGATCGCCTACCATCAGGTGAACTGCTTGCTCGTTTGCCTCTTTTTATCGTTAAAAAAAACCGCCATTTTTCATATAAAAAGCTAATTTCTGGCTGCTTTTTCATTTCTTGATTATTTATCACCGAGTTTCGTGAGTTATATACCTATCTATTGTGTCTATTGTATAATTCAGAGATAATATAGCTTATAATTTGGTATTTAACTCATTTTTTAACTAACCGTAAAATATATCATATCATAATTAAAATTATCAAAATCATCGCAATACTTTATTAATATAAATGTAATTAATCTAATGTATAAAATTCTCACGAATCACGTGTCACGTCATTTGTAACTGAACTCCTCCGAAACGGTTCGACCGATTTTCGTGAAATTTTGTGTGCATATCGGTCAGGGTGGTCCACCGCTAGTTTTTCTATATAATTTTTTTTGTTTTTATTTTTTTATGATACAGCACACAAAAATAAATACAACCCTAAATTTTCACTCCTCTACGTAGACGTAGTCGCGGGCAGCGGCTAGTATTATATATTAATACTTCATAAATATGAAACAACATATTGTTGACAAGCCAAATAGAGTGAAGATTAAAATTGGGCGTTTTCAGATGTAGCGAAATGTAGCGGTTTTAATTATCAGTCCCGCGGTAAAGGCAACGTAGTGACGATGTCAATGTGATATTGAAACGCGAAGTGGTTTCCTGATTGCGCCACGTTCGCCACGAAATCATCGTCTTAATGTAAATTTATAATCACATACAGGCGGATACGGATCCCTTTAATCTTCTTGATATTAACACTAAATCACATCTTGAATTAATGTACTCGAACCTTTTATCATTTAACTAACAATTTTTAGTAATTAAGGCCTTATTTTTTATGAATTTCAGTATTTTCAATATAGAGCACGTTATGAAAGTAATATAAGGGAATAATAAAAAAATTTAGGGATACCGTAGTTTTGTATGGACTGGAGAAGAATGATAACATGTCTGTGAAAGAAATGAGCATTTAATTTTCAGCTAATAAAGGAAAGTGGAAGGAAAGGACATGTCGATTCCACTTAGTGCGAATGAAGGGCAGGGGAATGAAGGAGTATATTCAATAGTACACATCTATGCTAAATGTCTATAATAGTAGAACGTTAATAATATTTTATAACCATTTCTTAATACTTTGTCTCTGATAGCCTTCAAGGGGATAAATACAAAATTTCAAATTAGAAATAAAATTTATTATTTCAACTTTTTCCCTCACTTCATCGGACATTTTGTCCTTTTCTGGTATTAGCGAAATTTATCTTATTTTATTCGGTACACAAAACAGAAAACAGAAAAAAATATATTGAATGTCAAACTGAAGTGTTGTTTAGGTTCATGACAGGCAGATTTTAAATTCTAGTT